ATGGCCTCCAACCTACTAGCAATGGCCTCCAACCTACTAGCGATGGCCTCCAACCTCCTAGCAATGGCCTCCAACCTACTAGCAACCTACTATGGGCTGGATAGACCCAAGGAAAGGATATGGGCTGGATTGCCCTGATTCACATGGCTAAAGAATTTTGGCCCAAAGTTTCCAGCTTTTATATAAGCCTCCATGGCCAAGTTCCTGCCTGCCCTGCAGCCCATGAAAGAGCTGATGGTCTGGGAAGAGGAAATCTCCCTGTCACTCATCAAGCTCTATGAGGCCCAGCAGTGGGGAAGGAAGCAGTGGGTGAAGAAGTTTCACACCCAGTGGCACTTGTCTGGCAACACAGCAATTGGCTACTTCACAGCCAGGTTGCTATGCAACAGTGTGTGCACAAGGTTTGGGGCAAGCTGCTACTCTAACCCCTGGAGGCAGTCCGACTTCCTAGAAGTTTGGTTTGGCTGGTGCCAAGCAAATGGCACCAAGATGGAGAAGTACCTAGCTGAGAAGATGTTTGAGCTGGTGCACTTGCTCCATAGTGCTTTTGCAAGCACAAGAAGAGACCACAAGCAGGTGAAGACCTTCGACCACCTCATGCAAATGGCTGAGATGGTTATGGAAGATGAGGAGGCGCTGGTGGGCATTTGTACAGTTTAGCCAAAATTGGCCTGGGAATGTCCAGCCTTCAGCTGGATGGGAATGTCCAGCCTTTAGCTGGACCAACACAATGGAATGTGAAGGAAAAATATTTGCTGTGCTTGATGGGTTGTAGACAAGTGGGCTGGACAGCCCAATTAGAATCTTTCCACTCAGCCTCGCGCGCATCAGCGACGAGAAACCAGGTATATTTTCGCAGCAGACGCGCTTCGGAGATCGCGGGAGGAGGCGGTGCTTTTGGGGCTGGAGCAGGGGCAGGAGATGCTGCTGGCTGCGCAGGCTCAGAGTCGAAAAGGGATGAAGAACAGCAGAGAGAGAGAGATATATATATATAGAGAGAGAGAGGGAGAGGAATAAAGATAGAAGGAAAGAAACAATTAAATTAATGAAAGAGGGGGGAGAAAGGGAGAAAGACCTAGAAGGATCAGCGGAACATATGTTAGGTGTTCATGTCACTGGCTCCCTAGGTGACGAAGGTTCTCAGCAAATTGTTCTTAACTTGGTGGATTCATGCATTGCTTTGAAACTTTGCTCTTTAGTTGAATTTGAATGACCGTCATGACTGGGCGAGGTTAACTGGTGTTTGAAGTGCGTAATTTGCACTAGTGAGGTTGCCAGGAAGCACGGAATTGATCGACTTTTGGCACAAGCAAGTGTTCTATCTCCAACTAGACTTGTCAGCTACGGCGACTCCTAGAAGTGGGTGTGAGATCTTCATTCACACCAGTTGCAATGTTTGAAGCAAAAAAGTAGTGGATCTACCTAAAGAAGTCATGATTGTTGACTTGTCCACTCTGCCCATCGATTTGCATCCATTCACTTGGGACTCGCCCTTTGAAGATGCAGCGTTCCGTTGGGTTCAACGCCCCTGGATTTCTCAGGATGTGGCACACTCCTCCCGGGCGTTGAGCGAAATGCAGAACCCTTGGCCATTGTGGGACCCTGGGTTCCTTTTTAAGTCCGCCCGTACTTAATAAAGTAAGGGAGTAAGTTCAGGGCAACTACTTAGTTTCTAGTAACTGGACGGAGCATAGCCTAGCTCACGCTTCTTCAAGGAAGCGCTCGCACTGATCATTTGGCTCCTAGATTCTTAGGGAAACTTAACCAGTAACAAGAAGCTACTAGGGGCTCCTGGCATCGCTACTCGGAGCAAGGACGCTACTAGGGGCTCCTGGCCTTACTACTAGTAACAAGAAGCTACAAATTGGACGCGAGAGACAGAGATTCAGCACTCACTTGGGGCGGTCATCACCCGTCCTCACATAGGGTTTTAACCTGCACAGAGAGCCTCCGCCCAGCTTTAGGAATCGCTTGACCGCTTCTCCTGCGCTGGGTTGGTGAATGCAACTTGGAAGACCTTGATGGCGTTCAAGCAAAAGGTCAATCAAAGTACGAGGCCTTAAGTCCTCCTTCGGAAACAAACCATGAGTTTAGCCGCCAGTATTCATGAGCAAGTGAACAAATGGTTGTTGCGGTTGCGGTGCGTGCTTTAACTGGGAGTTTGACTTGGGGAGGGCATGACTGAATGCAGCTAGCAGAAGCATGTGTGGTTATGGACACGAGAAAGATGCACTGTCGGCAGACAAGTCTGGCTGAACCAAATTTGCTTTGCTCTTAATCAGGCTCTACAGTCCAGGTGTGCTTTGCTGGAAACCATTGACATGAAAACCATCGCGTTGGCGCTGGCCTCAGGTAACGGCGCAGCCTCTTGCAGTTCTTCCCTCGCAACGCAGCTGGTTCTGGATCTTTGTAAGCCCCACGCGTGCAAATCACCAGGAGCTGTTGCCGGAGGCATCAGTTTAGACAACAGGTCAGACCGGTCACCAGTCTAGGAACACCAAAAAGGTCTGTGTTTGTTGTGTTTGTTGCTTTCTTGGTGTCGTTTCATCCTATAGGCCTATGGAAAGTCGGGGGCAAGGCAGAGTGAGAGTTCCAGCGGCATGGGGCACATGGGGTAGATTTCGAAGGAAGCTACTAGTAACAAGTGCCTTACTAGTAGTAACAGGTGCCTTACTAGTAGTAACAAGAAGCTACTAGGAACAAGTGCCTTACTACTAGTAACAATAAGACCATGTGATGGGGCACACCACGGCACAAGGACCAGGTGATTTCGAACAGCGTCCGTGCCAAGCAGATGCCCTACTGCAGCCGAGAGTTCAGGGCCACCGTCGCAGAGGCTAGGCAAAACCAGGCATAACTGGAACAGACGAGACTTTCCAAAGGAAACCAGAAGACGCTACTACGAGCAAAGGACGCTACTAGGGGCTCCTGGCATCGCTACTAGGAACAAGAAGCTACTAGGAGCAAAGGGCATCGCTACTAGGAGCTACTAGGGGCTCCTGGCCTTACTGCTAGGAACAAGAAACCAGAAGATCCGCTCCAACGACTGCAAGGCTGAGAAAGGAAAGCCCTAAAAAGGAGTGCCAATCCAGGAAGACTAATCTAGGAAGAAATCCAAACAGGCCGAGTCCTTGCCCTTTGTTCCTAGTAGCGTCCGTAGCGTCCCTGTTACGTAGCAAAACCCCTGGACTCGAGTTTCCTGTGCTCCAGCCAGGTGGCTTCCACTGCACCGCCAGATTGGACCGCACGCCTCGTGGAGGCACGACAAACAGATCTTCTGGTGGAATATTCAGGAAAATGGTTTTCCGAATTAAATGTTGTAAAAGAGCTATCTTCTTTTGAGTTACTAATAGCAACGGCCTCCAACCTAGGAGCGATTTCTTGGGTTTCTTGAACTCTAGGACTGAGTCCTAATTCTTGGTCCCGCACATGTCGCACATGCCGTTGCACTAGTGCAGCTGTCGTGAGGTGTGCGCAAGACGGTTTGGGAATCTGTGGAACAATTAAGTACTGCACACCAAGTGAAGTTTTTGGAACCCTTCAAGTGGCTTTGACTATACTCGAAGAATATGTTGGGGAAACCCTCTTTCTTGGATGCTTCCCTGAAGAGTTTGTCACTAGCTTGCACGCCTACGATAAAGGTATCCATCTACTTATTTGGAGCAGCCAGTCAATATCTTCACATCAATCCCATATAATCCCATCCTATCCTGTTCATTCATCCATATCTCTTCGTCGGAATGCGTATATGTCATACCTTTGCCCACGGGGTTCGGGGATAATAAGCAGCAATGGTGCCCATCTTCAGAGGCCACTGTGTTGGCTTCCCCTGTCGCCAATGCGTCGCTTCTTACATGCATATACATGTCCGGATGTTTTTCTTGTGAGTCGTAACAAGTGCCTTGCTAGTGGTAACAGGTGCCTCGCTACTAGTAACAAGTGCATCGCTACTAGTAACAAGTGCATCGCTACTAGTA